ATTACTGGCTATGTTTGCCATGAAGTTTTTTAATTGACTACCATTTAATGTATAAATCTTCATTTGATGTTCATAATTTATTTATGTAAGGACTCGTGTACATATGTAAAATATTTATCATTATCATCATCATTATTATTTAACTCTTTCTTTGCATGCAGATCCTCTTATTATAGTGAATGTGTTTTATACTGATACTATGACTGCAGCACAAGTTTAAGACAAAGTCTTCTCGTTCTTGATCACAAGTTATAAAACACACACACCTTTATGCTCATCTTGGGTCTGGGGTACATCAATGCAGACGTCCGGATCTCCATTTGCAGGTTCACTCTGACATGGATCAGTCTGCACTGGACCTCTCTGAACTGAACCCCCCGTTACCTAGAAATAAAACATGAAATAACATTTAGTGTACAGTATGGTTAAATGCAGTGTAAAGAATCAAATAAACAGTAGTCAGAATATATCTAATGAGAGCAACAAAACACAGCAGACTGTAACTGAATGTACTGTAATATGTATTTTGTCAGTGTGTTGGGGGATTTACCTTGTGATGCAGGGATGCTGCTTCTGCTGATATGCTTGTGAATGTCCTCTCTGCATCATGGTTACTGAGGAAGGGCAGGGACTTAAAACGGGGGTCCAGAGCTGCTGCAGTGTGGAAGAGATCTTCAAGGCCTGTGTAGCGTTTCTCCAAGTCATTCTTGAACGCCTGCTTCATCTCTCTGATTAACACTGAGTCTTCATCTGATGGTTCAAAGTTCTTTTTAAGCTTTGCTTTTACAGGAAGAATCATTGAGAGTGTGGGTCGCTTGTCTTCAGACATGCTGGTAGTCACAAGTTTGACCGGCGCCATCAGTTTGACAATGTCTTCAATGTCGCAGAAGTCTTTGTCCTTGAGAGTATTCACCTCTTCTCCTTTTCTGAGGTCCCTGGACATGAGTGCTGCAGAAATCGCAGGATGTTGCTCAAAAAAGCGTTCAAGCATGTCATGGGAGCTATTCCACCGCGTGGATACATCTTGGATGAGTTTGTGGGAAGGCAAGGCTAGTTGTTTCTGTTTCTCTTGAAGAATTTCTGCTGCCCTCACACTACGATGAAAAAAGGCAACGGCTTTCCTCACTCTCCCCAGCAACCTTGCTACTGTGTCAACTTTAAAGGCTTTCTGTGTGGCGAGATTAATAGTGTGTGCAAAGCACATGAGGTCAGGGGTCATCTCTGCTTCCACTCCAGCTAATACCATGTTTGTGGCATTGTCTGTCACCAGGGCTGGATCTTTATCAAGAAGGTTCCAGTCAACACATGCCTGTTTTAGCAGAGCACCAATGTTTTTCCCAGTGTGGGATCCTTTGAATGCCCTGGTTTGTAACACATGCACATTTAACTTCCAGTCTGGAGAGATGTAGTGGACAGTGATGGTCACATAAGACTCAGTGGAGCATGACGTCCAGGCATCGGTTGTAATAGCAACTCGCTCTGCATGTGCCAATTCTTTTTCAACTTGGCTCTTCACTTGGGCATACAACGCTGGCATGCATGTGTTTGTGATATGCTGCCGGGACGGAATCTTATATCTGGGCTCTAACGTATGAATCAAATCCTGAAATCCTTCCCCCTCCACTATATTGTACGGCCATAAGCCCTTAGCTATGAAACGGGTTATTGATGCCGTTATATCCTTAGCTCGTGATGAACTGTCGCCGAGTTGCCCGTAAAATTTAGTGATAACGTTACCCGTCGCTCTCTGTGTGGCAGCTGCCTGCTCCTGCTCGTTGTTATGGGGCTTGAGAAGTTCGCCATACTCCTCTGTGTTTTCTCATTGCATGTTGATCAAGGTTTGTTGTGCTACCAGTGTACTTCAGAGGTGCTCTGCATAGCTTACAAATAGCGTGGTTTTTGTCGAGTTTTCCGTCCTTCTTGTAAAACCCGAAAACGTTCCACACTTTAGACTTTTGTCTGGCTGCTGTATTGAAAATCTTTATCGGTGACCCGCTAACGCTGCTACTATTTAAATCCATTCTCGTTGTCTTGGTGAGCTACGGAGCATGCGTGAGAATAGCTTCGCGGGCATTTCCGACTCTCGCGTTGTTTTATAAACGCACTGTCAACCGAGCTAGTCTCGCGATACCCGGTTCATGTCTCTTCAACCGGTTCATCTCAGCATTTGTGGCTGGTTGCTGTCGATTTATACGGCTGCTACCGACACAACCATATCGCTAGCTTGTCAAACCGGATATCCGGTCATATCGGTTTATCTATAACAACCCTAGAAGGCAGTCGTAATTGAGACTGGAGCATCAGGAGCAGCAGGAGCAGCAGGAGCAACAACACGCAGGAATGAATTCAGCGGAGAAGAGTTCAACTCAGAAACATTAATTCAACCTTTATTTATTCAGGTTAATCCCACTGAGCCTCGAGGACTCATTTACAAGAGAGACCTGATTTCTGAACAACAACATGAAGTGTGTGTGTGTGTGTGGGGGGGGGGGGGGGTTGAAAGATCTGAAGCTGCTCTATTCACACACAACCGGTTGTTGCTCTCTAAAATAGTAATTTAATCAAGTGTTTACAAATGTAGATAAACATAGAAGTTCAACAACCCGTTTGTGGTCCAGTATCAATCAGTTTACAAATTAAGCCCTGAGCGTAACCTTCAGGTACCCAGAATGCAATGAACTCTGTCATTGTCTTCAGAGCTTATTGACAACACTGTAAATGTTTATGAACTATTAAATATTATTCCCCAGACTCAGGGGAGTGGTGATGCAGAGGCTAGAGGAGATGGGCCTGTGATCGGAAGGTCGCCGGTTCAACTCCCTATATCGACAACATCAAAATGTGGGTGGGATAGGTGAAGCCCCCACACCTGCCTCCACCCTCATTTGCCCCAATCTGGGCCTTTGAGCAAGGCACTTAACCCCCACCATCTGCTCCCCCAGGTGCCCTACATGGCAGCTCTCTGCTCCACACAGAGGGCTGTGGTAGCTCGGTGTCTGTGGTTGCATCAGGAAGGACATCCGGCGTGAAAACAATCACCAAGCAGCAGAGATCCACTTAGAAGATCTTGGCCAGCTGTTAGTCAGTTTGGTCAAAATGACAGT